ATCATGTTGCTGATGACGGAGGAGTACCTCTTTTTCACTTTTGCATAAACCCAAAATCGTTTGGGCAAAGTGTGGAGAATTTGTTCTATGTCAGCTTCTTGGTACGAGATGGGACTGTCGGAATATCAACCGACAGTCGGCAGTTACCCACTCTACGTAAGTTTCCTGCGGGTCTACTCCTGAGTGGCTTGTGGAGCTAACCTGTTCGACCTCTAGATCCCTCAAAACCGTATGCCCCGAGTGAGGCCCAGAAAAAGGGAGTCCAGAAACATCAGGCTATCTTCAGTCTCGATTTTGAAACGTGGCGCCAGCTCATTGATGTATATGATATCAAGGAGTCTATAATCAAGCATCGCCCCGAAGAGCCGTCACAGTCGACGGGCGGTGGTTGGTACGGTTGAAACGCACCTGTCCTTTTTCGAGTCAGATGTGTGGTTATAGTATAAAAGCGATACCTATGTTGTTTTGGATGTTATATCCATCTTGAAGCTGCAATGAATTGAACTACACATTCAATGTTGTGATATAGACCAGACGATAGCCTGGCTAGACCTCGTGGCATTGCTGCGAGGAGTGGGGCAACCCAGATCTGCACCCTGAAGTGTAACCGAGTCTCATGGCATCAACACAGAGCAAATATAAATTAAGATCGTATGTATGTCAGTGGCTGATACTCCTGAAAAGTCTTGGTTTATTTGAGCTTAATTCTATAGTGTTGGATTTAAGCTATATGATCAATTCTCCGGTGGAAGATGTACCGACGTCATTGCCGCCCCACCAGAAACTGTTAGCTCCAACAGCTCATGTCATGCAACATTTGCTGGAATTCTCGTAGTTCACCAGATACAACTGACGAGCTTCTCAAGAAGCAGCTCGCCGCTATAGATGAAATTGATTTCTTGCTTCGAAGCTGAGCTACTACCTTGATCCTGATTATCCAAGGCACACCTGAGTACGGGGGATAGAAAGCGCATTGAGCTCTGGCCCGAATTGCCATATATTTTTAGCCGCTCAAACAAAAGAAAACGCGCCTATCATGCCTCGACTATTTCCATCCAACCCAGAAGAGGTGATGGTGATCCGGAATGTCACCTCCGACATCATCACCCTGAGTCTGCCATTCGCACGATTTGGCCGTCTCAAGTTTGGCGCGCGGGGAACACTGGGTGAGTCCTGTCAAAGACAGTATCATCAATTTCAACCAGCTGACCAAGCTTGAACAGTCAAACTGCCCTCGGGCTCCCTCGCCGTCTTCTCTCCGGTCAGTCTCACGCCCCAAGTTCGCGAGATGGTCTCCCAGATGGGCCAGGTGAAATACATCGCCGCACTAGATCTCGAGCATCACATCCACCTCACGCCGTGGAAAGAAGCATTCCCCGAGGCCGAGATCATCGCCCCGGAAGGCCTCTGGGAGAAACGGCAGTCGAATCCAGAGTATAAGAATACGCCCTTTTCGCACATCTTCCGGAAAGAGGATCAGCAGAAGGGATCCCGCAAGATCTCGGAGGAATTCGACGCGGAGTTTGAGACCGAGTACGTGTACGGACATCCGTCGCGGGAGCTAGTGTTCCTACATAAGCGATCGCGCACACTCATCGAGGCGGATCTCATGTTCAATCTCCCCGCTCGGGAGCAGTACTTGCGGACGAAGGAGGGCGCGACATCGGGGATCTTTGCGAAGATTATCAACACGGTGATGTCGGCTGAGCCACCGGCGACGTGGCAGAAGCGGTTTGCGTGGTATATTTTATCAAGTGCAGATCGTAAGGCGTTTACGGAGTCAATGAGGAGGATCGATCAGTGGGAGTTTAATCGCTTGATTCCGTGCCACGGGGATATTATTGAGAGCGGTGCTAAAGGGAGTTTCCGTACAGTCATGGAATGGTTCTTGGAGAATAATCGACGAGGTTCTACGTGACAAGATTGGTTTACCGTTCTGGTTTGTTAGTAATTCTTGATCGTGTAATAGTAGGCTTCTAACACTATAATTTACGGCAAATTTCTTGAAAGTCGAGCGAGTCTGGTTAATAAACTAGTTCAATGATGCTGCGCAGTCCTTTGCTGAATTACCTCACTTTTTATTCATGCCGCGGCACAGAGGCAGACCTACGTCTACGGCTTTAGGGCTGAAGGGAGAAGGTCAGACGATCCAGGCCGCTACATTTTGTTTTCTTGATGACGTCAGACAGCAAGGGAGTCTTGGATTTCGTCATCCAAACAATAACAAACGTTCAACCCATGATGGTTCAGATTATACCCCTGAGGTAATAAGGTACTCTAGTTTTACAGGCATTGCTATTACGTCGACTTAGAGCTCGAAATGAATGGAAACAATAGCCCACACCCAAAAATGAAGCTGAGAAGATCTCTGGTATGCATTGAGAAGAATTTCTCGGAATGGGCTAGTAGTGGAGCTGGTGGAGAAGAGCTCTCAGCCTTAGTTGTGGCACTATCAATTCTGGACAATGGTACAACCATACTTAGAATGCAGTCAATTCTTGTAGTTATCCTTGTTGGGATATTTGGAGAATACTCGGTAAAGACTTAGGTTTGAGGACAACGCATGATGCCTGGTGTGGTCACGCCAATCATCACCGAATGAGCGGTCAACCGGCCCCGATCACTACTGTAGTCAGTGTTAAGAGTTGCTCAAAATTCAATGATTGTCTGTGCCCGGAAAAGTTGGGCAGACCGGAGGATTTCCCAGGCAGCCAATCGTTTTGAGAACAAGATGTCGTGCCCATGCGATGATGGCAGATGGCAGAACTAACACCGAAGGACATGGAAAATCCAGGCAAAGAAAATCTTGTACTTGCGATGATCGACACCAGGTGTGACGACTGCGCCGGCGAAGCTTTTAAAATGCAATGCACTGCCTCCCTTTTTGATTTATTTTCTTCCTTCCTCATCTATTAAACCCTCTGTACAAGTCGTCCTCACTCAGTCTACTCTCAAACCGTCGTCTATAATAACAAGGCCTCGAAGTCATTCTTTGTCAAAAAAAAAAGGACCACATCTTCTCAACAAGCATCTAATCAATAATCTCCATATCACAATGCCTGTCATTTCGCGTCTAGTCTCCATCGTCCTGCGTGTCGCAGAGATCGCCTTTGCTGCGGTATGCACCCCAGAGCGATCAAATGGTTGGAGCGCAACTGACTCTATGGTAACTCAAGGTCGTCGCAGGCATCATCGGTTACTATCTGCATCAGTTCTCCGATATTGATGCTTGGCCACAAGCACGGTGGATCTACACTGAAGTCGTCGCCGGCTTATCCATACTACTCGGTCTCATATGGCTGATACCTTTCTCTTCTGGTTTCTTCTCTTGGCCATGTATGCCTGATCTGTTGCGCACGATGATACTTGTCGCTAACAGGAAAAATCTACAGTTGATGTGGTCATTTCTTTCGCATGGTTCGCCGCGTTCGGCATTCTCGTCGATGCCATCCACAAGTTGAACTGTGGCAGTATCTGGCACTGGCATTTTGACACCTACAGCACCAACTCCTGTGGTCGTTGGAAGGCCGCCGAAGCATTCAGCTTCCTCTCCGCCATCGTGTGGCTCGCCTCCGCTCTTGTGGTTCGTATTATTAAGTCTGTAACCCCAAGGGTGTGGATTCTGACAGCATCTGCTAGGGCATCTGGTTCACCTTCCGCGTCAGGAGCGCCAATGCTGATGGCTACTAGTAAGTTGACTGCCTCGACAGATCTAAAACATGACATTCTTAACATGTTCCATAGTGGACGTCGTCGTTTTGGCCGCTCCGCCGTCTAGTCGTTTGTCGGTCTTTCATCACGGCGACACTGTTTGTCCTTGCCTCGGGCATTGACCTGCAGTGGACGGTTAAATCTATCAAACATTCGACAACTTTCCGCAAGCGTTCCTTACAGTGCCAACTTACGACGACTACAATCCTTAAGACCCCTGAACATACTTACTGTACCCCTTATCAAGGCTCACGTAAGGAAATACCCTGGTGGGCAACGAGTTGACGGTCTTTAATTGGTTATCTGCTGATTTGATACCCTCTTGTGTGCTAACGATTCATGCGGCATGTTGATGATATACTGTTTTTGCTCCTTCATTCTGTGTGATATATGCGCTTAATGCAAGCTTGCCATTCATATTAATTGTTCTCATTGCACAGAGAATAATGTATAGAGCCAAGACAGCACGGGTGTCTTAAGGTAGTACCGGTAGTTGCTCCGTAGTATGGGTGAGTATATCTGACTAAGGTGGGTCCACTCCTCACCAAGTCTGCCGTCTTACATGATCTCCACGATACCCATTCTATCATGGACAGAAATCACAGAATCGAAGATGCTATCAGACCAGGAGCCCTCCTCAATCTCAAGCTCTTCAAATTCCTCTTCCTACGAGAAAATCCCTCGCCAAACCCAGGAGTACCCACTAGAAATCCTGCACCATGAAGAAAGTTCCGAGGTCAGCCACTTTATGCCGGTAGCTCGCGGGAGCGCCGATTCGGCACGAGCCGGTCAGGAGTACTGCACGAGGGAGCCGCTCTTGCCAGTCCATGAGCATCAACAACAAAATCGCACATCTTCAGGGCGCTTTTCGTGTTCCGTATCTGCAATCTGGTCGTGGGTACTGGGGCCTTCGTCCCCTCATATATATCGGATCAGACCTTTGCTGCCCCGCTGGCAGACCGCGCTGGGCCGTTTGGTGGATAGATTCTTTCCCAGTACTATCAGCAAGGTCTTGCTTCTTCTGTCTTGCTTGGTTTTCTGGGGAGTAGTTTTCATAGCGTCGCTACGATCTGCAATTGCCAGCTCGGATGTAACGGGTTATGGGCAGCCCGTTAAGCTATCCTGTCACAGTCGACTATGGTAAGCTAAGGCCATTCTCCACACCTCAAAACAAAGCACGCTGATGATATAGGTCAAATGCGACCGACTGTGGTCTAGACGGTGACGCATGTCGTCCGTTTGATGATAGCGCATTTGCGTTTCGCTGCCCTGCGACTTGTTCGGCTGCAATGGTTCTCGAACCATACTTCATCGGCCCGCAGGAAATCAATTACCGGACTCTGGTCATCGGTGGTGAGCTCGGGGATGGAAATGGCAGCGACTACGGTGTGTATCGCGGTGACTCTGCCATTTGTCCTGCTGCACTACATGCGGGACTCATTAGTGATGCCAAAGGCGGCTGTGGGGTCCTCCGTCGGACGGGTGAACAGTCCAATTTTCTATCTGTAGAGAGGAACGGTATCTCAAGCATTGCATTTCCTTCCAGTTTTCCCTTGTCCTTCACTTTTGATGGGAATAGGTCCACAGAAGACGGGGGTCTTGACTGCCAGGACATCCGTTGGTCGCTGTTCGCCTTCTCCGTGGTAGTCTCCGCATTGCTCTCCCTTTTCATCACATCGCCAGCGGCATTCTACGCTTCGATGTTCTTCATCGTCTACTTCCAAGTCGCGCTTTCGTCCGATCCACCTTATTCTCCGAACTACTACGAGCTCATCTCCATTGCCCTAGGCAGATTCCTCCCTTGCGCTTTTGTCGGCTTCGCCTTGTACTATTTCTGCGTCAGGCACACCCTAAAAGATCTAGACGCCCACTGGGACAAGACCATCCTCTGGCTGGGGCCTTGCTGGGTTGGCGCCCTCAACACCGACACCTTCGACAAGATCCCCATATCCCGCCTCACGCCCCACGATATCCAGCAGCAGCCCGGCGCCGTACCAGCCCTAATCATCATCGTCGCCCTCCTATGCGGTATCGTCATTACGCAGGCCATCGCCTTTCGCAACGAAGGCCGTCTGCCCAAGATGCTCGCAATCTACGGCGTCCTGACCGCCGCCGTTCTCGGGCTCCTAGTTGTGCCGCACATGAACCTCCGCATCCACCACTACATCCTCAGCTTGCTCTTTCTCCCCGGGACGACCTTGCAGACGCGGCCAAGTCTGTTGTATTCTGGACTCCTGGTGGGATTGTTCATCAACGGAATTGCCCGCTGGGGGTTCGATAGTATTCTCCAGACGCCTGCCGCGCTGCTCGACGGTGCGCAGCTGGGAAGTGCGCTTCCGCAGATCTCCGCACCTCTGGTTGTATCTGCGCAGGAGATCGTCTTCACTTTCCTGAAGAATCTGACTAACCAGGCGGATGGGATTAGTGTACTTGTCAATGACGTGGAGAGGTTCCATGCTTTCCGGTCAGGGGATGGGTCAGTAGAATCGTTCAATTGGACGAGACGCAGGGCGGAGGAACCTGAATATTTCCGTTTCGGGTATATGAAAATGAATGCGCTAGGTGGAGTTTGGTACGAAGATTTTACGAAGCCGGTTGTCTGGGACGTTGATGGGAGTTGGAATCGCTCGACCCCGACTTAGTGTTTTCATGATGGTCATCAGATCTCAATCGATTTTTACTCGTTCAACTCCCAGGACAATGTAAGATAAATACCAGCTGAAAAATCTATCCGTATTATATCCATGGACCCTGACGAGATTGAACATAGACGCCCGAACACCAGACAATGCATGAAGAATCCGAAACTACTCCTTCCGATAATCGCGACATCTCACCTGGATGATGCTCTGCTTCCCGCCGTCTTCAACAACCATAGCCGTAAGCTTCCCACCCTTGACGCACCCAGAGTCCAGACCCTTGGTGTACGTCTTGAGGGACAAGGAGCTTTTTGAATCATGGCCGTAAATGACGGTCATAAACTGCGCCTTTGGGTCCAACACGGAACCCTTCAGACTAGAGTACAGCAGGGACTGATGTTTATTGAACAGCTGCCATTGTCAGCTTAGCAATCGGCGACGAAGATTAACGGAGCGTAGCGCATACCTTGGTCCACTTCGTTCCGTGGCGCGTCGAACTAGGTACATGCGTATCCAGATCGATGGTCAGCATGTTCATCACGCTCGAGGGATCCTGCTTGTCGAGCTCCACGCCTGGCACCAACCCCCCATGCACGACGACCACCTGTCCCATTTCGGGGATTTGGCCCACGTTCAGAATGACGGGGCAAGCGTCAAGCCACTGCACCTGCTCCTTGGACAACTGGCGCGCAAGCGCGCGCTCCTTCTTCTTCAGCCCGAAGAAAAGGTCTGGGCTGATGCCGCCGTCCGAGTCCGGCGAGAGGGTATTCGATGCCTCCATGTCGTGGCGGAGCAGCAGCACCCGATCTTCATGGTTCCCGCGGACACAGGAGGCGTTGTACTTGCGGGCCAGGTCGACGACCCCGAGGCTGTCGGGGCCCTTGTTGATCATGTCGCCGGCGAAGATGAGGTGGTCGCGCTCCTGGTCAAAGAAGAGTTCGTCAAGAAGGAGTTCCACTGTCCGCATCAATCAGTACATCATCACAAGGAGAACTGAGCCCAGGGAACGCACGCTCATCCTTGCAGCCATGCACATCCCCGATGAAAATCAACCTGCGCGAGCTAGGCTGTCCGTCCTTCCGCGCCTTTACGACAGGCAACAACGAAGCATCCAGATCCCTCAATTGCGTGATATTGTCGAATCTCGGCAGTGCATTCGTACCAAACCAGCCCCCCACATCGTCCTTGATCGACGGGTCCAATGAGTGCAACAGCGCCTCGTGTTCCTCCAACCGTGGCGAGAGCACAAACATCCACCCCGCCAGACAAGACACCAGGAGCACCAGGTATATAATCGCGTATCGGCGAAAGCGCGGCGCCGTCACCATAGACATGAACATCTGCACCCATCGCGGGGAGTCGGACCTGTCGGGGGAAACGGAGAGGGAGGTGTATTTGGCGCTCATTTGCCATTCGTTGCGCACGTAGTCGATGAGCGGACGAGTGTACCTATTCAATCTGTAGGAGTAGCCTGGCGGCGAGGGTGGAAATCCATCATCTGAGTAGTCGTCGGAGATCCCTAGGCTCTCCCTGTCTGCGTGAGCCGCCATGGGCGGAGGATCGCCAGGCATCGGCGATTTGGCGATGGAATCCGCAATGGTTCAGTGGCAGGCTAGGTCGGATATCCGCATGTATGTCCTGAGACTATCCGAAGCTAGAAAAAAAATAACCCATGAACCTGCATGGGAACTTCTGTCGTGGTCGATGTTGAGATGGAAGAAAGCAAGGTTTCACTCGTGACGACTTACTTCATCGGCTGTCTTATTCTTAGCACGCATAAGACGTAGTCCTAGTGGAGCCTGAGGCTCGATCAGCGAATCTAATCAGTGCATGGCTTGAAGACTATTCCTTTTATGGCCTAGCATCAAAGCACATAATCTGTCCCGATTATGTAATCGACCTTTATCTCGATGTTGGTCATAACAATATCAAAGTACTATGGCGATCAGAGACATAAAAGTAGTAAGTAATAGACCGTCAGATTCGTAAGTACAATTTCTATACAAGATAGCTTATGATACATTAACGAAATTTTTCCTGAACTTCCACCTCTCCCATATGCCACTTAACCTTTTCCAAGACCTTCTGGTCATATACTTCTGTCACGTCCTTTCCTCCTCGGAGGACCTCCCGCTCATGGCGAGCTCCCTCCTCCTTGGTCATGCAAACGAGGTTCTTCAAATCAATCGGAATGAACTTCTGTCCTTCCTTTTCCCACTCTGGATCAGGCGAGAAGCCCCGAGCCGGCCGTTGCCAAGGCACCAGTATCAGCCGGTTAGTCAGGCTGCTAATAGCACTCCTGCCCCTCCAGATCTCCTCCACGAGATATCCAACATCGTCTTTGCTGATGGGAATACGAAGCCCAATGAGATCCTGCCCTGCTTCAGCCCGAGCCAATTTTTCATGCAATCCTTGTAGGAATGCGATTATGCTATCGTAGAGTTTTTCCCGGCCTTTTCCGCCGACATTGTAATCATTAGGATAGCCTGAGATGTCACAGATGACATGATTGGCAACCGTGTATCCGAATACAGCAGGCATAGTCCCCAAGACTGGAAGAATGCGAACACGGAAGTCGGGCAGCACGCCGAGCTCACCAACCTGTCCTTTGGCGAACTCCTCCTCGGCAAGTGGTAAAAGACTGGCTTTTCCAGGACCGGGTTTTTCTGTCGAAAACACGACAGGAATGCCCGAGTTGACCCCCAGGAGCTTGAGGCGTCGTCGAGTGCTGCGTGATAGGGGATCATCGGTGCTCAGTGAGATATCGCCAACCATAATGCGTGTGGGATCAGATTTGCACCCTGCTCCCATTGACGATATCACGGGGATAGAATTGGAGTGACAATAGTGCAGCAGCTCAACTTTTGATGTGATATTGTCGATGCAGTCCAGCACGTAGTCTGGCTTCCGTCCCTTGTCGCTGTCATCCCAGGACCACGGAGCAAGTAGATCTGCAGCAGCGGATCTACCAAAGAGTTCATTCCTACAGTCAAACTTGACCCAGGGCACAATCTGTTCCAATCTCTTTTTGATGCAATGCACCTTGGGAGTGCCCACGTCGGCAAGAGTAGCGAGAGCATGTCTATTCAAAGAAGACAATGTTACTTGGTCGAAGTCGATCAGGCGAATCTTCGCGACCCCCGAGCGGGTAAGCGAGGCGACAGCATGAGATCCCACACCACCACACCCAACCACAATGACGAATGATGAACGGAGTTTCGCTAGGCCTTCGTCGGTGAGAAATACACGGTTACGAGCGAGTTGTTCGAGTATGAGATCTGGCCAAAAACCGTGGAGTCAGCCCCGTAGTTGCCAGGGGAGAGCCGTTAGAGGCTGAACAAACCGTCATCATAGTCACCCTCTTGCGCTCTTCGCGCAAGAGCCGCGCTGCGTTCGTCCTCTTTATTCAAGTCTGTTGATGAGGCCGCTGTACCGTACTCTGTGAGCTTCAAGTAGAGCAGTAGTCAGCGTAAGCCCTCAGTGAATTGGCTTGACACAGTTGCATTACCTTTTCTGCATGATGTCTTTCGTCAATCGGAGGAATGGAAGCTTTAAGGTGCTGCACAGCTTCTTTCCTTCTCAAAGCTTGGTAGCCAAATATTGCGCCGGCAACGGCAGCTCCAGAGACCACAGCAGTGACTGCAAGCTGAGCCTGCTGCTGGCCAACCTGGCGCTGGAGCCACGAGGACATTTGACGCAAGTATCAAATCCGGCTTGACCGTTTTAGTTTTTCCGGATTGACGTAGAAGTGCGACAATTGCGATAAACTCGCTCCAATAGACACAATTGCTTCACTCGACAGACCGACAGACCGAGTGACCTAGGATGTACACACCAAATCCCTCGAGGAAGAAATTAACATACAATCTTGTCCTAGGCAATTGACGTAGTCGGCTCGTTCCGTGGACTTCTCGAAGCTTTAAGTGGGACCATGATGTAGGATCACGTGCTCTCTTCCAGGCGCGTCCAAAAGCATCGGGCCTCGAGTCTTCCGACAGTCAACAACACAAAGGTGTCCATCTCATCCAACCACATGGGTAAGTTGCGCACCATTTGCCAACTTAATTTGATTGCTGTCTAACAGCGTTTGCACAGATCTGAGAAGAGCAGCTTTCCTATCTCGATGACGATAAAACAATCACAAGAGCGCTCATGACACAACTGAACCGAATGTGTTCCAGACCACGGACTTCATCCTTCGTGGCGCCTGCGCTACGAATGGAAGAAGACGTGGTCTTTAGATGTGAGTGACTGAGTTGAACAGAGATCTAAGAGACTAGCGAAAGTTTGGCGTCTTCTCATCCTTGTGGTATTGACTTCGAGAGCGACTTTGCTTGCGCGATCATACTGCCCACCTGTTCCTTCTGGTGATGATGCCTTCCTCTTATGTTGTGGATTGGGCATTGGATATCTCTTCAGAATACTTTCAAGGCAGGGATCTTTGTTGCCAGGGCTCCTGTGACTCGCACTGTTTCTACAGTTATTCCTCTTTCTCTTTACATTCTTCTTAATCTCTCTACTCTCTTTCTCCCTTTTTTTTTTGACTCTAGGTTTGCCGAGACTCAACGCCAGAGCCGATGATGACAAACCTTGCATAACTCCGAGGTGTCATTTGCCCATCTGTTTCGCGGTAACGAAACGATGCCGAGCGGACCTACCGATGAGGGGCAGAAAATTACTGAGGTAGTTTTCAATCTGATATGGCTGGCAGCGGGATTCTCTTCATTATACATGCTCACTTTTTTCTAGTTATACCTCCCCAGAGATCGTCTTCGATATCTCCTCAACTCGCAATCAGCCAAAATCACTGCCATTCTGGCCCTGCTAACTGTCAACAAGAGAAGTGAATGACCCTATGTTGCGAAACATAGAGCTGCATCCATTAACTTGGTTTCGGACTCGTCCTCGAGATGCCGATGGACACTTAGATACCGCAACAACATTGTCATTGAGTCCGTAATTGGCTAGGAGACAATCACTCTAGAAGACTACTAGACTAATACCTACAGCTTATCAAGTCATTTGATAACCCCTTTTATTCCGTGGTACACATTCTTCTGTCCTTCTTGTTTCTTTTCTTAATACCAGCCCGATGACGAGGATGAACCAAAAGCCAAAGTTGTATGGTATCCGGCACTTCACGTGTACACACACATTTATTTATGCCTGGAAACCAATGAGAACCTGAGAGCTAATCTGAGGGCTGTGCTATTATTTGTTAATGTCTGCCTGTTATCTATGATTTGTGATACCGATAATCGTAGGTTGAATAGCTAGACGCAATAATATTTAAGGGTGTTGTACATGAATAATGAATTGCATGTCGAATAAAATGCTAAAGAAATGTACGCTCAGATGCATCGTGTCATTCATCATGAACTGTGCCACAATCGCACAAACACTGAACAAAATATAGACTTTGCAAATGCCATTTAGCGCAAAAACCTCTCAACGGCACCGCCAATATTCTTTAAGTCAAGCAGGAACGTATCATGCCCGAATAAGGAGATGTCCTCGCCCAGCTCGATGTGTTCAACGTTCTTGTTTCCAGCCGCGCGAAGCGTCTCGGCGATCTCACGTTGCTGCCACGCGGGGAAGAGGATATCGCTGGCAACACCCATGACCAGGACTGGGTGGTTCTTCAACGGCGCGAGTCCGGCGACGAGATCGGCGGGTGGTGCATCTGGTTGCTCGCCTGCGGCGACTGACTCGTCCGCCGAGGAACCGGAATCGGTTGTAGAGGGTTGCTCCTCGTAAGGCTTTTCGGGCAATGTCAAGCTGCACGAGGCATCGTTGTAGCGGAGTGTCTTGCCGCCTTGGGCGATACGAGCCTCAAACCCCTGTCTGCGCTTCCTGGTCTCTGCCTGCTGCGACCGGCTGAGGTCGAACAAGTCCATGGCTTTGGAGACGTAGAGCAGACTATTTGGGTCGTACTCGAGGCAGAATTTCTCGCCAGCATGATCAAGATAAGTCTCAATAAGGAAGTCAGGGCACAAGGCCGGCTGTTTGCTGGGGTCGGCGCGCCTGCGCCCGAACCGCTTCTCCCATTCCGGCCCACTTCTGTACGTGACTGTTGCAATTTCTCTGGCGAGTTTCATTCCCGAATGAGGCGGGATCGAGTCGTAGTAGAAACCGCGGTTCCATTTCGGGTCCATCATCAGCACCTGGCGCTGGGTGTGTCTCATGGCAATACTGTACGGGTGGCTGCGGGCGCATCCACTGATACTCACAATCTTTCCGATGCGCTCGGGGAACAAAACACCGGCCGCAAGACTCTGCATCCCACCCATGCTGGAGCCAACGGAGGCGTACAGTTTTTGGACACCCAAAGAGTCCAATAGACGGAACTGCGCTCGAACCATGTCGTCCAGTGTAAGGATAGGAAACCGCGTGGCGTATCTCTTTCCGTCGGCCGGATCGATTGAAGACGGCCCCGTGCTCCCATAACAACCCCCAATAACATTTGAACAGATAACGAAGTACTTATCCGTGTTCAACGGCTTGCCAGAACCGATAAATTTCTCCCACCATCCCGGTTTCGGGTTGCCTTCGGTACTATGTGCATGGCTCG